AGTGAAAACTGAAGATATGGGGCATGACAAATTTCTAGATCCCCAAAAAAGAAACTCAAAGAAGTAAAGAAATATAATCTGTGTGGATAATGAATTCACCAAAAGTTAAGACAAGAGAGAACTTGGGGCAAAATATTCAAGAATGGAGGAGACAAAAGTGAAATGGAGATGGTAGCTAAACCTGATCACAAAAAAAATCACTCAAAACTGAGGATGATCTGCAATAATACATAAAATCCTAATAAGATTACTGACATTTAGAAATGGGAAGAAAGGAGCTAAAGGTGTAGGGAAGGTGGGATGGGTAGGGGAAGGGTAATAAGGGAAAAGAAAAAAATGTGAGACAATGAAAAGACGAAAATAAAGTGTTTGTAGATGGGGAGGGGAGGAGGGGGTGAAGGGAGGGCAGGGGTAAGAGGAAAAATGAGAACCAAGACCTGTCATGTAGAGGTACAAGATCCCAACAGTGAATGTAACTGTACTATATCCCTAAAATGTACCAATAAACTCAATTAAAGCTGGAAAAAAAACTGAGGATGATTTCAGCAAGTCTACAACATCTCTGATGGATCAGTCTTGTTTTCTGTGTTTCACAGATGATAACACTGAGGATTTCTGAGGTTAAGCAGCCAGCTTCAGGTCACTCAATCAGGAAATTAAATTATTGTTTTAAATTTTTTTAACTAGTACATGTTTGTAGTACATAATGATTACATTCATTGTGAGGAGATGATACAGGTACACAATACATCTTAATTTTTTACTTCCCTTTCCCTTTCTCTCCCTACCCAACTCTTAGAGAATAGAATTCTAAACCAGTAAAAGCTTAAGTGTAAAGATGACAAGGAGAGAAAATTATGCAGCCTCTGACCTCCATGCCCTGCCACAGACATAGTACCCTAAGGGGCCTTCCTCTCCCCTTTCTCATACTGAGGTATTCCTCTCTGGATATTTTCAGAGGAAATATTAACTATAGGAGTGGGACATAGGTTCCCCAGAGCTCTGTCCCTTCTTGAAAATAACAAGGAAAGTTTATTCCTGTTTCCTCTGTAGTGAGAGGACTCACCAACATCCTCCCTCTTCTCTGCAACTACCATGGCCTTAAGGATCCTAAAGAATACTCTTGCTAGCACTGCCAGCACTACAAGACTCAGTCAAATCCTCACCTTGTCTCTCTACCCCGTGACAAGATTGCCCAAAAATGGAGATCACATCTCTTCATCTGAATTCTTTCCCAGTGTTTTATCTACTCCTCTAGTGACAAGCAAGATGGCACCAACCCTCTGTTGTCTTCCTGAGGTGCCTAGGTCTGATCACAGGTACCCATCTCAGAAGTCAATGCAGTCAGACTGACGGGTCTTTTGTTAGTCTCCTTGCTGTCATCTCAAACCCAGAATCCACATAAGGAGCAGCAGACCCATGTAGCATCTGAAAATTCAAAGTTTAAAAATATTAGGAAGAGAGATTAGATATGAAGGTAAGTTTATCATTATGTTCCTTTAGAAAAACAAAGTTTTGCAGCTGATGGGCATATTCTAATATACCAAGAAGGTTTGGAGAAACATCATACAATATACCTTACAACAGATTTGCTTTCTGTGTGCATACGGAGAATACTGATGCTATATGCACATGTGCTGCAGCTATATATTTGGGAATTTATTCATACATGTAATAAGGATGTTATCTGGGAAATTTTATTAGTGTGTGTTTTCATGCTGTGGCATGTTTAAAGAAAAATGGCTTAAGACTTGTCTTGTTGAAGTGGTGTGTGGCTATGTAATCACAACACGAAGAACTTTACTTTTGGTAACTCAACATTCTAGCGACTGAAGGCCCATAAGCCCAAATTCTACCTTTTATACTTTGTGTTCATTATGTCCACAATGCTGTAAAATTATCTAGAAATAATGATCAGGCTTTGTATTTCCTCTTATTCTCCAGTGTCTCTAGTATAATAGAGTTTGGTTTATTAAAAAAAAAAAAGAAAGACTAAGCATTAGTCCGATTTAAGCCAAAATTCTATTAATCATTTACAAATGATGTGACCTTGTTACTTCATTTCAGCTACTTTCCTATCCTACTCTATAAAGCTATTGCCTAGTTTTCAATTAAGTAAAGATTGGAATTAATATATGAAACAAATATGAATTTTTATAATAGTTTTATCACAAACTAGTAAAAGAACCTTTTTAGAACTTGTTTCCTGGGCTGGGGGTATAAGTCAGCAATAAACTGAGATCTCTGCATGCTTGAGGACACGTGTTCAATCCCCGGAACCACACGCACACGCACACACACAGCCTTGTTTCCTGATCTGTAAAAGATAAGGGACTATAGTTAATGTTCAATAAATACCTACTATGTACCAGGTACTTTCTAAGCCCTTTGTATACTTAGCTCACTTCACCTACTGCTGCTTTTATGTGAGGAAACTGGAGCACAGAGAGGTTAACATGCTCAGGGTTCCTCAGCTAGGAAACAGTGTAGCCAAGACTCAAATCCACGCAACTGGCTCTTAAACCCTTGTTCATATTCACTGTAGAAGTACTTGTTCTGCCAAATAAAGTTAAAATGAGAGAACCCCATAAGCAGGATGTTGGGGAAAAAGGAGTTTTTCCAGAAAAATAAAAAATAAGATGATTATGATTTTTAAATTAAAAGCATGAATATGCTGTTGAAATAAATTATCTATATAATGATATCTTTCAGAAAACATATTTTATGGAGCTTTTATTAGTAACTTCAACTGTGATGGTTTTTATATTTGACTCAATGTCAAATTAAAGTTCCTTCTGTTCCTTGTGTTCCCTCTTCATTTGTTTAAGAATATTTGACAATAAAGTCAGAGGATAGCACAGAAATCTTAGAAGTCACCTAATACAAACTCCTCAATTTACATGTGACAAAATTGAAACAGAGGGACATAAAGTGACTTCCCCACACTAAGAACTAGGATAAAGATGGCTATGCTAGCTAGAACCAAGGTATTCTACTTCTGGACTACCAACAAATGTTCTTTCTTCTACCCACTGACACTTGGTTTAAAAGCTAACATTCATGTATTGATCATCATGTTTAACAGGAGGAGGAGCAAGGATATTTTAAACATCCTCCATTTATAATGTTAAGTCATCAATGTAAAGGGCTGTGTTAAAAAGTAAACTGAGGCACAATAAAAATTTTAAAGAGTTTGGTTTTTTTCTCATTGAGTTTATTGGTACATTTTAGATATACAGTATGGTTATATTCATCATTGGGATCTTGTACCCTTACATGACAGGTCTTGGTTCTCATTTTTTCCCCTTATCCCTGTCCTCCCTTCACCCCCTCCTCCCTTCCCTATTTACAAATACTTTATTTCCATTTTCTCATTTTCTCATTTTTTTCCTTTTCCCTTATTACTTTTCCCCTGCCCTTCCCATTTCCCCTACACCTTTATCCCTTTTCTTCCTATTTCACATTGTCAATTATATCATTAGGATTTTATGTACCATTATAGTTTTTCACACCAGAGAAACTATTTGGTATTTATACCTGTCTTACTTACTTATTTCACTTAGGAGTATATCCTCAATATATATCCATTTTCCTATGAATGAGTCTAATCTCTCCTTCTTTATGGCTGAGTTAAAGAGTTTATTTGAACAAACAGCAATCCATGAATTGGGCAGCTCCAATCCAGAAGTGGTTCAATCGAGGACCAGAGGAGAATTAAGGCCTAATTGGCTTCCTCTGTGAGCACAAAGGAGAAAAGCTGCACTAGTGGGTGATTGCATATCAGGGAAAAGTTAAGACAGCTGAGGTTAAGTTGTTTACCAGTGAATATATTAATAGATATGGGAAACCAGATGGATCAGTGCCTGAGTGAATAAAAGTGAGGTGAGCCAAAGGCTCAGGGCTCCTCTGTCTACTGGAGGTAGAAGCCACCTGGCTGCTCACATGTTAAGCTGACTGTGTGTATCTCTTCCCCCACCTCCCCCATATTGGGCATCAAAGTCGAGACCTTGTGCTTGTAAGGCAGGAGCGGTGCCACTGAACTAAATCCCTGGCCCTGACTCTGTCTCTTTGACATTCATCCTGCTTTGCCCCCAGGTCAGGGAAGAACAAAGTATCAGGTCTAGGTCACACAACAAGGTCAGCAGGGAAAGGGTCAGCTACAGGTGGCCCCACGGAACAGGGACCTGAGACCTGAGTCACCCATAGTTCAGGAAAATCATGGAGAAAGAGTTATAGGACAACCACAGATATATGGCAAAGAAAACATCTGATTTGTTACAGTTACACAACTGCCATTTTTGGTCCATCTTACTGAAAATTCCCTAGTTATATAAACGTCTTGCCTGACTTAAATGAAGTCGCTTATGTTTGCAAATTCAGGAAGGTTAAAGTCACTTATGAAGCCTATCTGGCTTTGTCTGCTCGGGGATTCTTTTTTCCCATTTGAATCTAACAGTTATGGAAATAAAACAGGGAAGGTGGTAATTGTGGTGTGTAAGTATTAGACCAACCTTATGTATTGTCCTAATTTTAGGCATATATATATATATACACACACACACACACACACACACACACACACACACATACATACACCGGGGATTGAATTCAGAACTTTATGCTTGGGAGGCAGGCAGCAGCCCCACTGAGCTAAACTTCCGGAAACTACACACTCATGGAAACGGAAAAGAAGACTTACATCTGAAGGGTTGTCATGGGGGAGGAAGATTAGATTTTTTCTTTGGTCCCTGGTAATACAACCAGAACAAAGGAGGCAGGTGAAACAACACGGATTTGAAAATCAGACAGGTGTGAATACAAGCTATACACAGCCACTGACTAGCAACTTAATTAGTTTTATGAGCCTCCATCTCCCTCATGGGATCTTGTAACTAAACCAAGGAACACTGACTGGCATGTGGCTAGCCAAATAAACTAAGCGTTCAGATCTGTAGATGGAATTACAGTTAACAAACCGTGTGCTGTCATCTCTTACCCAGTCCAGGATTTTCCTCGGCCTGTGCCCATCTTTGTTAGTCATTCCAAACATTCCTGGAGTTTCTCTTCTTAGGTCCACCACAGCACCGGGGAGCGCTTCCTCCTGCTGGGCTTCTCCAACTGGCCCCCGCTTCAGCCCACCCTCATCGTCCTCGTCCTCCTCTGCTACCTCCTAACCCTGGCCGGCAACTCGGCTCCGCTGCTGCTGGCGGTGCGCAACCCGCGCCCGCACGCGCCCCTGTGCTTCTCCGTGAGCCCCGGGCCGCGGTGGACGTGGGCT